CTAGACAAGACAAATAACTGTTTAATTCATGTCAGGTCACTGAAGTCAGTGTGGCTTATTACCCTCACATCAACCAAAATTGCTTGGATTAAAGGTTGGAACAGAAGAAAACTAATAGTGTATTCAACTCTCCAGTAATGACTTCATTCTTCCCATTCTCACATGGCCTAAAATGCTTATTTTCAAGGAGGGGAACCTAATGCTGAGAGAAATAATGTGATTAGTCCAAGAACACAGTATACTCCCCCCATACAGCAAGGTGCTTCTGCCCAGCATAGCAGCTGTAATGCAGGACTCGGGTGCTGTGTGCTAAGTGGCAGTTCTAACTATCTAGCAATATTTACTAGGGAACACCTAAGTTCAGGCCTTACCTACTAAACCAAGTCACAGAATATGTCTCTTGGTACTTACAGGTAGGAGGTTTTAGGATGTACCCCTGCACTCCTTCCCACCAGCAGTGTCTCCCAAAGCTCATCTCTTAGATTATCAGTTTTTCATATATGTCAAGAAAAAAACTTTCATTAAGTGATTAAATAAATTTGGAAAATGCCACATGCTGCATCCCTTTCTTAGATATTCATCATGCATGTTAGAATATTGACAGCTTTGCAGTGTCTGGCAATGAAAAAGCCGTTTAACTTTCTTTAACCAGGTGTTCCCAAAAGTTATCTGACAGAACCATTTGTTCATGTAAAACCTGTAAGTTACAAGCAACACATTTTGAGAAACCCTGTCTAAAATTTGCATAAGTTGGGGAAAGATACACATTAACAAAGAATTTAGATCAGGTTTAGAGATGACAGAGCAAGAAATCTGTGGAGATATCCTTGTAGAACAGGTGAATGATAATCCTTGTAATCTGCCCCAAAATATTCCTTGTGGCTATTAGCAGGAAGGGAATCCTAAGCTGGGCTGGGCAGGCTTTACACATTATAGTCTTTCCTCATTGTGGGGGATGACTGTGTGAGGGGGTGTGGATAACTGTGTGAATGTATTTGTGTTTGACCTAGATAATCAGGTGGTTTAGAAAAGAAAAAGCACTGGGCTAATGATCAGAAGGTACAGTGTGTTTTTTGCCTTTGTCATGGACTTGTGATGTGATATCTCAGCAGTCCCAGTGCTCCACTAGTTAGCGTGGATGATGATATACAACCTCCATCCCTCTGTACAACACAGGCCTTTAGTGTCCAAAGGCCTCTCTGTTCACTTGGGACCTCAGCAAATGCTGTCTGAACGTGAAAGAGAAAAGGAGGATGTTGTCGGGCTGATGACATAATGTCTACAATGTTCCGGTCACCTCAGGAGGAGCAGAGGGTTTGGTGCAAAGGGCCCTGCTGTTCCTGAGGGAGGTGTGAATGACTGTCTGACACCCTATATTAAACCATGCAGCACAGCCTGATTGGGCCACGCAGAATGTTTGTAGTTAGACGCTCCTGTAACAAAGACACTTTGGTTTTAAATGACAGAAATCACCTTGAACTTGCTTCAGAAAAGAAGACACTTTTAGGGTAGTAAAATACTTAAGCATCTGATAAAATTTAAAGAATTTAAACAACCACATCTCAAGAAAGTTCAGAAACACAATGGTGCAGGGGATCTCCCTTTTTCTCTGTGTCTGTGTCTCAGCTGTAATTCTTGGCAAAGAGAAGTGTATAGGCCTAATTATCGGTCAAATCCCCCTCTAGTTCATTTAGCTATAGTATAGCTAACAGCCATGTCTCTCTCATTTTTCCTATTGGAATCCCAATGTGTTCAGGACAGTGTGACAATAGCTTGATCTCAGGGAAGATACATTCCCACCCCAGTCTCCGAGGATGAATTGTGATAGTCTAAACCAGTCATAGTAATCCCATTTCTCTTTGTCAGTAATTGGATGAGAGTGGCATTGTGACCCAATTCTAATGTAGAAGATATAAATAGAAGTTAGTTGGATATGATTCTGGGAAAGCTTTTGTCTTTCTTATGAAAAGGAACAACAGATTTCCCAGGCATGGCTCTGACTCCTTTTGCTTTTCTCCTTCTCTGGAATGCAGGCATGATGCCTGGTGATTCAGCAGCCATCTTGTAACCATGATGTGACAAGTATGAGAGGAAAGGCGTGTGCTAAGAATAGAAGACACAAAGGAGAAAAAGCCAAGGTCCCTGTATGGTTGAACTGCCGCACTGACTCTAGACAGCATCCCTCCTGATTTGTTCTTATTTGAGAAAAATGAAAACCTATTTGTTGATATCACAGTGTACTTTAATAGGTTGTTGTTATTGTTGCCTTTGCCTGCAACCAAAAACATTCCTAAGTGAGAGAATTATATAGAAGAAGAGGGGATGGCACCTACAATGGTTAGATATTCAAAAGTATCTACCAAAGCCACCCTGGAGTCTTGAAATCTCACCACTGCTTTAAAGCATAGAGAGAAACGCTGTTCATGCCACTGCACACCTGTCCTAGATAGAATTAACTAATTCTACTGATATTTATTGATTCTGCATTATCTGCTTGACGTTTTTCTAGGTGCTGAGCATTGATTGGTGAAGACAGAGAGGGTCTTGGTTCTAATTGAGCTCACATTCTAAAAGAGAAAATAGAAAATAAACATGAAAAACAAATGAATGGGATTACTTCAGAAATTGAAAAGGTCTATAAGAAATACAAAACAGGGTGTGTGATAGAGGGTTGGGGAGGCTGTGTCCGTGGAAGGCCTAAGAAAGTGATATTTGAAATGAAACTTGAGTTACAGAAGGGAGCCAGCTGTGCAAGGCTGAGGACCAAGCATTTCAGGAGGGAACAGCCAAGGCAGAAATGAGCATGGCCTGCTGGAGACCCAGAATGAACTGATAGTGGGTTCCCACTGCATGGGGCCTGGGGAGGCTACCCATGCTCATCTCATGGTAATGTGCCAGCAACTCAGCCCACTGGCATCATGATGAATCTTGAGGCTGCTAACCAGGTTTCATGTTGCATAGGTGAACTGTCCCATCACCTGCTTGAGGCTGGCAGAGCCCAGGGGGTGAGACCACTGGGGGTGGTCTATGCAGTGGACTCTGACCAGACTGACTGATCCCCTCATGTTCTTTCCCTTTGAGAATGGATCCATCATTCCCAGCCACAGCTCCTATGCTCCCCAGGGGACTAGCTTCCCTTGGAATGGGGTCAGCCCTGCTCTGGAGGGACTGGGAAAGCATTCAGCTAGCACACAGCTGCTACAGGACCACGCTCCAGTTAACGTTGTCTAGCGCTTGAGAGTCCCCTGTGTAGAGAACCTGCAGAGAGGCAGGAAACCTGTGAGAGCCCTGGGCTGGTCATACCTGACATCAGCTTCAAGTGATACTTATCAGTGAAGCAGTCACATGAGATCACAAGGCTGGAAGCTCCCTCAAAGGTCACATTGTCCTGCATTCCTCGTGTGTCTGGCTCTACCTGGAACAAAAGTGTAAGAATGTTATCACCCCACTTCTAACAGGTTGCCTGTGAAACGGGATATCCACCCATCTCTGGTAGACAATCCAGTTATCTTTTTCTCTAACACTTGAACTTGCCGGCCATTGGAACCACTATAATTATAATAGATGTTAGATTTCCTGTGTGAGTGATGGGATGTGAGGAATGTGACTGTTCACCTTAGAAGAGTAAGGATGCCTAGAAGTGCCCAACCTGCCATTTAGAAACCCTAGGTTTGGTTTTCTTACACCTGGAACACAAAACCACAAAATACCAAAATTGGAGGCAACCTTGGTGATTAATATCCCTCCTCTTACAGATGGAAAAAAGAAAAAAAAAAAAAAAGGAACATGACCTGACCAAGACTAATAATAATACAACAAAGGAAGGCTCTTTGGGATTCACATGGTCTTATCATAGGTGTTTATAGAATTTGGTTGTAATGTGCCCTTTGACTGATAGGACAAAGAAAAAAAAATCCTTGCATGTCAAAAATATGTGCCATCAAAGTTCTCCATGCCTCTGTCTGGTTTGATTCTCACCATCCTATGTAGTGGGCATTATTTTTTTCATTTTACACACAAGGAAAACAAGGCCCAGAAGGGCTAAATCCATTCCTGAACTCAGACTTCAATCTTTTGCCTTTTATTCAATATCATTTCCAAGTCCATCTCCACTTTGATTCTCTGGGGATTGATGGTATAACAGAAATTAGCCATAACTTGGGTAGGGCAAGATATATAGGAGCTCTGAAAAGTCTCTACCCTATTCTAGAAGCAGATATTGTGGGTTGCTAGAAATTCTAAAGAAAGGATTCTGATTTTTAGTGACTCACCTTCATTGGCATGTAAATACTTCCCTCTTAGAACCACTGTAGCTGGAGCGGGGCCTCATGGCTGCTAACATAATTTGGTGCTGTCATCTCAGCAGCTGCCTCTCCTTATCTTAAATACCACCTCCCAGGATAGTGTGGTACTGAAAAGCTCAAGCTGTTAGAATCCGCTGGCTACTCCAATTCCTGGTTCTGTCGCTTTAGATGACCTGAGTGATCTTATGTAAATTTCCTATATCTCAGTTTTTCCATCTATAAAAAGGGGGCTAGTTATAGTACCTTCCTGAGAAGGTTAAAGACTAAATGAGGTAAAAAAAAAACCAAACAAAAAAAACCAAAAAAACCAAAAACAAACAAACAAAAAAAACCTTAGGAGAGTAAAGTACTCAATAAATATTAGTTGCTGCTGCATTTGCTCTTGAGACAACCGAAAGAATTTTGTCACAGAGCTGAGTTTTCACGAGTACAAAAGGAATATGTTCATAGTTCATGGAGTCGGTAGGCATGCCAGGGTGATAGGTATCCAAAAGACAGAATCACATAGAGTTTACTTTTTTTTTTTTTTTTTTGAGGCAGAGTTTCCCTCTTTTTGCCCAGGCTGGAGTGCAGTGGCACGATTTCGGCTTACGGCTACCTCTGCCTCCCAGGTTCAAGCAATTCTCCTGCCTCAGCCTCCCAAGTAGCTGGGATTACAGGTATGCACCACCATGCCTGGCTACTTTTGTATTTTTTTAGTAGAGACAGGGTTTCTCCAGGCCGGTCAGGCTGGTCTCAAATTCCTGACTTCAGGTGATCCGCCTGACTCGACCTCCCAGGGTTCTGCGATAACAGGTGTGAGCCACTGCACCTGGCCCAGTTTACTTAACTCGGGGTAATGATTGCTCTGGACCTTATATGACAAGGGTTATCTTCATTTTCTGCCAGTATCACCCCTCTGCCCCCACACCCCTCAACAAAGCAAAAGGCTTTAACTCACCCACATGAAAAGCTAAAGCTGACCTGGAAGTTATGATTATGTATTTATTTAGTCCAAAAGAAGAAACAGAAGTAAGAGCCTTTTATATAACTTGAAGAGTGTAAAGGAGCCAATAATAAAAACCATTGCCCTGAACTTTTCCAAAGCACCATAAATCTCTCTGTTATGATTCCCCAGTTGTTGCCAAGGTATCGTTTGTCTTGTTGTTTTTGTCTTCAAATAGACTAAAACAAACGTTAACGAACTTCCTTCTGTTAGTTTGTGTATCTGTGATCAACGGCTATAAAAATGCTACTCTTTCAAGTTACTCCCATCATCTAAAATATACCTGATACTTATTTTGTGGTTTCTCAGTAGTATTCTGATTTTAATTTGATTGGTTTTTATGTTTGTCTCTTTTCCCATTCAAAGCTGTTTTTTCCTCCCTTCCCTCCCTTTTGTGTTTCTCCCTGTCTCTGCTGATATTTTTTGCATGTTTAGATCATCTCTCTACTGACCTTTCAGTGGCTTAGCATTTTGTTGCAATGCACAACTGAAGTTGGGAAACAGAGCCAAGTGACAAACTGTGAAGTAACAGCTCAGCCTTCACAAAGCAAATGTGCTTTGTGCACTTTCTTGCCAGAGCAGATGTGGCCTTGGTGGACTGTGGGGAGCATCATCTCTCAGGTAAAAATAAATTACCAAGATTAGGGCCAAATGATGCAAATCCTTTCATTTGCAAACAGATCATGAACTGGCAGCCATGTGGAAGGAAGACTAGACTGAGAATCACTTAGGATCCTGCCCTCGGTTTAGTCCAGAATACTCTGCCAATCAGCTTTTTGGCCGCAGGTGAGTGATTTTAAAAATCATTAAATGTGCAGATGCATAAAATGAACTCACATAGTTCATGGACACAGGTGACATAGGAAGTTAATCAACAGAAAAATAGAATGAAATAACAAAACTCTGTGTCCCACCACCCAGTCTGAGGCAATCCCAACATTTTGATGGGTTCGCTTCAGACATAGTTGAAGTTCTTTGCAGACTTCTTAATCCCATTTCCCTTTCTTCCATCCGGAGATAAACACTATCTTGCATGTACATGCTTTCAGACCTTTTCTGCATGCACATGCATCTTTCCACAATATGTACTGTCATTTTGCATGTTTTACATGTTTAAATAAATAGAAGCACACCACACATATTCTACCATTTGTTTGTTATCTAATTTAGCATAAGATTTCAACAATTTAGCTCTAGTTCATTCATTTGAACTGCTTTGTTTCATGAACAGACCACTCTGTTTGTCTGTTCTTCTGTTGATGAACACTTAGATTGCTTTTAATTTTACACAGTTATAAACAATGCTTCAGTGAGTGTTCTTGTCCATTTCCTTGTCCTAACATACAAAAGCTTCTCTACAATAGCATTTTTCAAAATATTTTGTCCACGCAGTTACATGGAAACCCAGCACATACATGTTCTACATTTATGCATATGTATGCATATATGGAACAAAAGTTTCTCAGAATAATATTTATCTTTATTTTCTACTTAAGTCTAATTCTATTTATTTTATTTTATTTTATTTTATTTTATTTTATTTTATTTTGAGACAGAGTCTTGCTTTGTCACCCAGGCTGGAATGCAGTGGCGTGATCTCAGCTCACTGCAACCTCTGCCTCTCAGATTCAATTCATTCTCCTACCTCAGCCTCCTGAGTAGCTGGGATTACAGGCACGTGCCACCGTGCCTGGCTAATTTTTGTGTTTTTTGTAGAGACAGCGTTTCACCATGTTGGCCAGGCTGGTCTTGAACTCGTGACCATAAGTGATCCGCCAACCTTGGCTTCCCAAAGTGTTGGGATTACAGGTGTGAGCCACTGCTCCTGGCCTATTTATTTATTTATTTATTTTTGAGACAGTGTCTTGCTCTGTCACCCAGGCTGGTGTGCAGTGGCGCAATCATGGCTCACTGAAGCCTCAATCTCCAAGGTTCAAGTGATCCTCCCACCACAGCCTCCTGAGTAGCTGGGACTACCAGTGTGTGCCACCACGCACAGCTAATTTTTTTCTTTTTAAACTTATGGGGTTTCACCACGTTGTCCATGCTGGTCTCAAACTCCTGGGCTCAAGCAATCCACACCCCTCAGCCTTCCAAAATGCTGGGATTATAGGTGTGAGCCACCACACTTAACCTCTAATTCAGTTTAACCTGTACTATTTCATACACCGTTGTAATTTAGGAAAGTGTTTTATGACCCACTGATGCATCTCCACTGACAAGTTGAAAAACAGTTCTGGGATACATACATAGACGTGGACCTGCTGGGTCATAGGTTGTGCCCATTTTCAAACTCATAAGTTTGTCTACCTGAGTTCATTTTATGCATTTAAATGGATATTTGTATTTAGCTAGCATTCCATGTATTTCTAGAAGGAGACTTTCCAGGTTATTTAGTTTGCTGGAAATGGAAGTCCTGTGTTAAGCTTTCTGGGTTTCAATATTTTGTCTGTCACAAGAAGCCACACACACAAAAGGTAGTAGATGCTTCCGTATTTTGCAGGCTCCTTTCTCTGCAGCCCTGGGGAGAGTTCTGGGGGTCTGCCCCAGTGTGGGTAAGTTGCAGGTTGGAGGTGGACACAGGAAATGAGAGAGAATGAGTAGATGGAGTTCTGGGTCTTTTACCACAGTCCCTACCCAAGGAGCTCCATTTTAATATTGATCCATTCTGTTTCCATTAGATTGAATTGGCAAAAGGGTTGTGTAGTTTAAAAATATTCTTAAATGATTGGTTTAGATGTCCTCCAAGGTTTAGATGTCCTCCAATCTTTCCAGATCTAAACAAATGGAAGTAATTTTTAAATCTCTGGACCATTTAAAATTGCAGCCAGAATTAAAAAGTTTGATGGCTTATGGAATAAAGTTTCATGAGTAGCAGCTAGGCAAACAGTGTTTGTTTATCTGAATGTTGACGTGCTCTTCCTGCCACATAGAACCTGGGTTGGATGGGATGCTCTTGGCATCCTTGAAGGCAAGGAGTTAGGTGCACCCTCAGGCTGGAGTTGCCATTTTGAGGGCAGCCGTTTCTGTTCTGTCATATGGCCTTCATCTGCAGGAGACTGCTTTAAAAAACTACTTTGTTTTCATTGTGTTTGTTTAATTCTGTGAATAAGGCTCTAAGGTACATTTTTCTGAAATCCATTTCAGCCCAGCACACTGTTCCCCATGCTTGCAATAAAGCTCATTTGCTCAGCAGGGTACACGGTTAAACCTTTGTATTCATAGGGATGACATTTTATTATCATTTTAATGAAAATATTTGCTTCCTCCTGGGTTTATTTTTGCCTTTCCAATATAGGAAAAGCATTTTTTTAAAAAACCCACCAAAAGATGGGGTAGTAACTTGGTAGTAAAGTGAATTAGGAGTGGGCATATGTTAATTAATTTGTATAGGATCGTGGACCTCTTTCTAATAAATACCCCTTGCCTTCTCCACCTCCCCTGAGCCTAGATCACTGCTTCCTCTTAGACTCTAGTCCCTCCCTTCAATTTGTCCTGCTTGTATTTCATCTTCTTTAATCACTGTTTTCATCACATCCCTCCCATGCTCAGAAACCCTTAAGGGATCTTTATTTCCCACCACATCAAATCTAAACTCAGCTGCCTATTTTCAAGGCTTCTCCTAATCTGTTCTTTCCTTACATCTCCAGCTTTATTTCCCTTGCCAGATGTGACTCTGGTTCCTGTGGTTTAGAGATAATGGGATTTTTGTACACCAAAAAAAAAAAAAAAAAAAAAATTAAGATCTGCGTCTTTTTTCTTAGGCACAGTTCAGCCCAGTTCTCTTAAACAAAAGCACATGTCAACAATTATTGCTCACCTCCCTCACAGGCCATGTGAGGGAGGTTGTGGGGTCCTTCAGGCAGCAGGAAGAGGAAAGCAGTTTATGCACTGCTGTTTCTCACTATTTTGGGAGAAGATGAGGACCTGAGAAAGGTGACTTTAGTTACTGGAGTGGTTTGTAAAAAGCTCTGCCATTTTGACCCAGACAGGCAGAATGCGAATATAGAAGGAGAGTATGAAAGATATTAAATATCAAGCCAGAAATGTCTGGCTCAGAAATCTGTAAAGAAGCAGGTCCTGCATAAGGGAAAACTCAGCAGATCATCAAGCTCTGGAAAAGACAGTGCAGGAGTTGGTGAATGAAATTTAAGAGAAGTCTTCCATATTGGAGAGGGCTTTTAATTTTTGTGGCGATAGCTTATTTTCAACTTTCTGTTTATTGTGGTGGGTGACTGTACACGTAATTGATGTTATTTACTTTGTTTTTCTCTATTTTGATAAGTTCTGGCTCTTCCACTTAGTAGCTGTATAATTTGGGGAATGTTTCGTCTTTCATAAAATGGATATAATAATGGTATATGGTATATAGAGTCATTGTGAGGGCTAAATGAGATAATATATTTAAAAAGCATAGAACATCATTCAAGAAAAAATATTATCTGTCATTTCTGTCATCATAATTATTGTAAGTGTGCATAAGCTGCTCTTCACTTGAGCAGCTGCTAAAATTCTACTTTCTCTCAAAGTACCTTCAGGTCAGTTCAGTTCAGCAAGTATTTCATGAGCGCTCCATATATATAAGGCACTGAAGATACACTGATGATATCACACATATAACATTGACTAGCCCATAAGCAGCATACTTTCTAGAGGGGAAGGCAAACCCAGAAATTGATTATTTCAGTATTAGGCTGCAGTGTCCAACATAGTCACCAGCAGCCACATGTGGCTACTGAACACTGAGAATGTGATTAGTCTGAATAGAGATGTGCTCTTTGCGTAAAACACACATTGGATTTTAACAAGTTATTATGATAAAATACTGTAAAATATCTAATTAATCGTTTTAACATTATTTGGCATTACCTATCAAAATAATTAGATCAGATAGATACCGAGTTAAAAGTATACAATTAAAATTAATTGCACCTGTTTCTTTTGATTTTTAAAAAAAATGTGGCTACTGGACATTTTACATTTATGTGGCTCCTATTATATATCCTTCCTTTTTTATTTTGAGACTGAGTTTCACTCTGTCACTCAGGCTAGAGTACTATGGTGCAATCTTGGCTCAAGTGATTCTCCTACCTGAGCCTCCTGAGTAGCTTGGACTACAGGCACACATCACCATGCCTGCATAATTTTTTTTTGTATTTTTGGTAGAGATGGGATTTCACCATGCTGTTCAGGCTGGTCTCAAACTCCTGACCTCAAATGATCTGCCCACCTCGGCCTCCCAAAGTGCTGGGATTACTGTGCCTAGTGGCTCCTGTTCTATTTTTATTGAACAGAACTGGTCTCATGTGATACAATGGAGGTTAAAATAGGGTACAGGGGGAACTCAGAGGAGCAGCAGGTCATGCACCCTGTCCTTCTGCCCAGGGGAGCAGGTGAAGCCTATGTTGAGTGTTAAAGGGTAAGCAGAAGTTGTCCAGGCAAAGCCAAGTCTAAAGGGCCCTCCAGATGAAGGTAACGGGAAAGGCATGAGGCATGGTATTTCTAGGCACTGGGAGCATTTGGTTCTTCATAAAGCATTATGAGTTAGGGACTGGCAGAAGATGAAGCTGCAAGAGAAGTGAAGCTTGGTCTTGCAATTCTTTAACATCCAGCTGCCATTAAATGCTCTGGTCCTTGACTTATACATGAGGTCTGGTTATTTTTCCACTATTTATTTCTTTGACGTTTTGGACTATCAGCTGCCAAAAGTTGGAGATTTACGTCCACGACGACAGACTTTCTTAGAGTATAGGACTGATGAATGCACACGTGCTGGTTGGCAGGCA